TGAAAATACTGTGGGATGGAGGGCCCACTTTTATGAGTTTAGTTTTACGCTGTTCTCAGCAGTATTCCAGCTATATGGCAGCTGTCTGTAAATATCGAGTCTGGACCAGACAATCCAGTGATCAACAGCATGAGCATCGATCTACACAGTTGGGATACGATGATATGAGTTGATCCCGATCCCGATAGTCACCTCTTACGACAAGCATGAGTTACTGAAGATCAATTCAAACCCGGATCTTCATGGGTACCCACTGTTATGTCAACATGAAGAGTGAAGCACTTTTGATATTAAGATGGTGGTTTTGAGTTTTTAACTGATTTAACATAAGCGTATCCATAGGCTAATTGCTTAGCAGATGTTTAGTTTCACTTTCATTATGGCACATAGACTTTGGCCACTGTAATCTCCACAAGAAAGTTTAGCACATTTGTATTTCAAAACAAGTTCAAAACTAAGTTCAAAACTTTTACCCACTAAATGAAAAGATATATAAGTTGACTACACTATAACTTGCAAATATACAGTTACATTAGGCCTGTCTAAATTGGTTTGTAGACAATTTGCACATACTTGGACTGAAGAATTTTCTGAAAATGTTACAGACTGGCTATGGACTACATGAACTGACCTTGAATATATGCGCTAGTTTGATGAAACTAAATGGTAGCATATGTACATGGGGTCGTAAATCAGAATGGAATGTCTTTATGCCATAATCCTATCTCCATGTAAACTCTCCAGCAGGACACACTCGTGCAGTGAAGTTGGTTGAGTGAGACAGCAGCATCAATAGATGGCAGTATTGTCATGATGTGCCATCAGTCATAGATGTCTAGGAGCTGGTAGAGTATGATATGTGATGTGGAATACAATAATGCTGTCAGCCCCTGCTCCTCCTCCCACACAGACCAGCATCATCAGCTACACACAGTGATAACAGTTACACAACTCTCCAGTAAACAACCCCTGTTCCTCCTCCACTCCAACCAGCATCATCAGCTACACACACAGTGATAACAGTTACACAACTCTCCAGTAAACAACCCCTGTTCCTCCCCCACTCCAACCTGCATCATCAGCTACACACAGTGATAACAGTTACACAACTCTCCAGTAAACAACCCCTGTTCCTCCCCCACTCCAACCTGCATCATCAGCTACACACAGTGATAACAGTTACACAACTCTCCAGTAAACAACCCCTGTTCCTCCCCCACTCCAACCTGCATCATCAGCTACACACAGTGATAACAGTTACACAACTCTCCAGTAAACAACCCTGTTCCTCCTCCACTCCAACCTGCATCATCAGCTACACACAGTGATAACAGTTACACAACTCTCCAGTAAACAACCCCTGTTCCTCCCCCCACTCCAACCAGCATCATCAGCTACACACAGTGATAACAGTTACACAACTCTCCAGTAAACAACCCCTGTTCCTCCCCACTCCAACCTGCATCATCAGCTACACACAGTGATAACAGTTACACAACTCTCCAGTAAACAACCCCTGTTCCTCCCTCCAGCATCACTCCAACCAGCATCATCAGCTACACACAGTGATAACAGTTACACAACTCTCCAGTAAACAACCCCTGTTCCTCCCCACTCCAACCAGCATCATCAGCTACACACAGTGATAACAGTTACACAACTCTCCAGTAAACAACCCTGTTCCTCCCCACTCCAACCAGCATCATCAGCTACACACAGTGATAACTCCAGTAAACAGTTACACAACTCTCACAGTGAAACAACCCTCTGTTCCTCCCCCACTCCAACCAGCATCATCAGCTACACACAGTGATAACAGTTACACAACTCTCCAGTAAACAACCCCTGTTCCTCCCCCACTCCAACCAGCATCATCAGCTACACACAGTGATAACAGTTACACAACTCTCCAGTAAACAACCCCTGTTCCTCCCCCCACTCCAACCAGCATCATCAGCTACACACAGTGATAACAGTTACACAACTCTCCAGTAAACAACCCCTGTTCCTCCCCCACTCCAACCAGCATCATCAGCTACACACAGTGATAACAGTTACACAACTCTCCAGTAAACAACCCTGTTCCTCCCCCACTCCAACCAGCATCATCAGCTACACAAACAACCCTGTGATACACACCAGTTACACAACTCTCCAGTAAACAACCCCTGTTCCTCCCCCACTCCAACCAGCATCATCAGCTACACACAGTGATAACAGTTACACAACTCTCCAGTAAACAACCCCTGTTCCTCCCCCACTCCAACCAGCATCATCAGCTACACACAGTGATAACAGTTACACAACTCTCCAGTAAACAACCCCTGTTCCTCCCCCACTCCAACCAGCATCATCAGCTACACACAGTGATAACAGTTACACAACTCTCCAGTAAACAACCCCTGTTCCTCCCCCACTCCAACCAGCATCATCAGCTACACACAGTGATAACAGTTACACAACTCTCCAGTAAACAACCCCTGTTCCTCCTCCCACTCCAACCTGCATCATCAGCTACACACAGTGATACCAGTTACACAACTCTCCAGTAAACAACCCCTGTTCCTCCTCCCACTCCAACCTGCATCATCAGCTACACACAGTGATACCAGTTACACAACTCTCCAGTAAACAGGCCCTGTTCTTTCCTCCCCCCACACACACACACACATACACACTCCAACCTGCAGCAGCAGCAGCACACAGTGATAACAGTTACACAACTCTCCAGTGAACAGCCCCTGTGCACCAGTGCACCATGTGTTTTTGGCAGTGTTCTTGGAATACATTGTGAAGGAAAATCTTTTCTAATACCTGCACATAAAAATCCTCACAATGTATTACTTTATCTCAACATTATCCTAATGCGTTTCTTTACTTTGAAATTTTTCAAAATGTTTTTTGTGACCTAGAATTTTCTCATTATGCATTTTATGTGCTGTTTGTCCAATAAAACTCTTGGTTGTCCATCTGTCTTTCCGTAATGCAATTCTGGGCCATATTTCCCCATGATGTAACATTAATAGATGAACTTCTTTCAAGCAACTAGCCCAACACCCTGAAATACCGTTTGCAAGAGTTGCTTCAGGAAACCATCTATCTTGCTGTCATTTACTGCATCCAAATTTAAAGAATCTTTTTACCATGTAAGAGTTACTGCTGCTGTTGTTGTTGCTGCTGCAGATTTCTTTTAATGCTCACTCAAACACCCACACAAAATTGATTAATACAACTAATCCTCTTATAAAATACGGAAACAATCTAATTTCCTCAAATATCACACATATCGGTACTTCCAAGAATCCTGACTTACATTCTCCAACTAATGTTTGGTCACAGGCTTAATCCTTGAATAGCTGTCTGCATGACAGATCTTACAAGTCACAAAAAGAGAGCATCACTCCCCTGAGGAGGCCCCAGATACCTTGTTGCCTGAAGATCAATCACTGCCATGTCACTTTTTGGATATATTGCTGAAGCCTTCTTCATTTCATTGTTCTTCTAATGTTTCTGAAATTGTTTGAGTCTGATCATGCATGGTTCTGTTCTTGTCTACTGCCATTATCTTGTAGCAACCACAAGCTGTATACTGTTCTCCAAATATGGTTAGGTAATGACCTCAATGACCTTGTAAATTTAGAAGTGATTCTAGGTTACTGTGGCCCAGTGGTACAGCTTGTTGTACATGTTTGTAGTCACTGTTACTTAGCTGATTCTAGGTCACTGTGACCCACTGGTACAACTTGTTGCACATCTTTGTAGTAAACGTTACTTATCTGAATCCAGGTCATTATGACCCAGTGGTATGGCTTGTTGCACATGTTTTGCTAGTCTGTCTCACAGTCCCTGAACCACATTAATTTCCCTACTGCCAAGCCCTCTCTGCAGTGCTAAAGCCCTAAATAAAGCAAGTCTAGATTTCCCCAGGTTCTGAATCTCTGGTCTCCCTAGGGCTCCTTTTCAATATAAATGGGCTTGTTTGTTACTATCAAAATTATATATATTCAGAGACTAAGCCTTAGTCTAATGTTTTGCAGTCACTGTTACTTATCTGAATCCAGGTTATTGTGCCCCAGTAGTATAGCTTGTCGCACATGTTTGCAGTCACTGTTTCTTATTTGATTCCAGGTCACTGTGCCCCAGTAGAATAGCTTATTGTGCCCCAGTAGTATAGCTTATTGTGCCCCAGTAGTATAGCTTGTTGTGCCCCAGTAGTATAGCTTATTGTGCCCCAGTAGAATAGCTTGTTGTGCCCCAGTAGTATAGCTTGTGCCCCAGTAGTATAGCTTATTGTGCCCCAGTAGTATAGCTTGTTGTGCCCCAGTAGTATAGCTTGTTGTGCCCCAGTAGTATAGCTTATTGTGCCCCAGTAGTATAGCTTATTGTGCCCCAGTAGTATAGCTTGTTGTGCCCCAGTAGTATAGCTTGTCGCACATGTTTGCAGTCACTGTTTCTTATTTGATTCCAGGTCACTGTGCCCCAGTAGAATAGCTTATTGTGCCCCAGTAGTATAGCTTATTGTGCCCCAGTAGTATAGCTTGTTGGACATGTTTGCAGTCACTAATTCACGTAATGACTGAGGCATGAAACAATATTCACTCACATAACAAATGCTGCTTTGTTGAATCAGATCTTTAGAAGTGGTCATAGTTCCAGTCAAGGCAGTTAAGTGTCTTAGGTCATTGAGTTATTTGGCAGTTGTTCTGTTTGTGACAAAGAGATGCTCCTTGACTCTGAAAGAGTCAGATGAAGTGGGGGACAGACTAATGAAAGCACTGAGACTTTGTCCATGCAAAAACAACAGTTGATGTATCACAGAACAGTCGGGACATTATAAGCTGATGCAAGTGATACTTCCAAATCAGTCCTAATGATGAAATGGCAAAGAAATGATGATGATGATGATGATGATGATGATGATGATGATGATGATGATGATGATGATGATGATGATGATGATGATGATGATGATGATGATGATGATGTTTGTTTGTTGCCAGCTGGACAGCAGCTGAACAAGTCGTTCCTGTACAGCTACCTGCGTGACCAGCCCATATGGCAGTCTCTGCGCTTCTGGAATGCTGCATTCTTTGATGCTGTCCAGTGTGAGAGATCCCGGAGACCAATGCCAACAATGTGAGTAGTTGTGCTTCCTCACAAATCTAGCATTACATCATAGAGGTTAATGCTGTTGTAAGCAGTGTTCACTCACTCACTCACTCACTCAGAGTGATGTGTATGTGTAATATATGCAATGCTAAACAGATAGACCCAACTTCAGTTTCATTCAATAATGAGTACAGAACAGCCCTGCAAGAAAAGACACTACAAACTTGAATTATAAAGAAATGAAGTCTTTTACAGTTTTTCTGACTGATCACAGGCCAAAATATTGCCAGAGCTCTTTTGCAAGTATTTATTCTCCCATCAAATTGATATGCACTGACTGTATGGAGTCATGGAGAAACTGGGCATCTAATGTGAGATGCAAGATGGCTGGAATCAATAGAAGTTGAATAAATACAGCTTCCCTAACCACTCCATCCAGCATTGTTGTGTTGTAGACCTCCAGCTGGGCCCCGTCTAGTTTTACTTGCCAACTGTCTGATACAGCAGCAGTATGTTATTGTTGCTGTCTTTGTTCTCCATGTCCAGCTGGTATTAACTTACCTGAATACACCAGATACATGTATGTCTCTTTTCTCTTTGCATGAGGAAAATACAAAATGCATTAAACAGACTATATTTTCTCCTATTCGGCAGGAAATTGAGCACCACCAAACCAAAGCACTGAATTTCATATCACAACAGAGAGTTCATTAGGCAGAGAAGATAATTACATCTCATTTATGAAATTGGCGCCATAGCTTAGTGAAATAATCAATGGATATGTGAAATAGAGCTGTAACTTGATATCACACAAATGTGACTGCTTCTTTTGTGTATTATCTTGAATTATTGAAGTCATGTGACAAACAAAGGGTATGGGAAACCTGAGAGCATTGTTATGAGATGCTGAAAATGTAAAGAAATGTTGTTTAACGATTTCAGTTTGCATGCTGTTAATTCGTTTTTAACTGGTGAACAGATTAATCTGGTTTTGACTGGAATCTTTGTGTTTCTGAGTGGGAGCCTACACAATACATGTCTTTAGTATTCTGTTGAAATTGTACATGGAATTGTATGCATGCATTACCATATAAGAAAAGTTGATATCTCAATTACATCACCACCATTTCAATCTGTAAAACATAACTGTACACAACTGCTTCAAAAGCATTAATATCATACCTCAGAGAGAACTGTCTTGTGTGGATTATACTTGCTCTTTCCAAATCAAATGTTAATATTAGCTTTCTATCTCAAAATGTATGAGAACTTATTTTTGTCCAAAATAATTTCCTCAGTAGTGAATGAAGCGTTATAAATCAATATATTTGATGTGCATATTTCCATGTTAGGCATCCTTCAAAATAATCAGTGCTATCACATGCTGTTTCCTTAACCCCGTTCAGTTTGTCCTCGATCAATGCCTGTGCTCTATTGGTCCTTCCAGTGTAGGTAGATATGGTTCAACATAGAATCATTTTCTTTGCAGATCCATTCATTGTTTGTTGAACTACCTATATAAGCTATGTTAAGCTTCAGAAATCAGAAGGAAAAATAAACAGTACCTACCTGAAGTACATATTTGTCATGACGCAGACAAATGATATATTAATGACAATGTATTCTTGTTCAAGCTGCTTCAGAAATTTTTACATGAATGAAGCATCAATTATTCAAATGGATTTTTTCTGGCAAATCAAACTTCTGTAGAAAATTCCCTGATGCTAAATAATATATACAGAGAAACAGACATGCTTCGGGATTATTGAATTCAATCAGCCAACAGAACACATTCTGATAATAAGAATCTTGCAACTATACTCTCCTGAAGAAGTAGGGGATCATATAAATGTTATAAATGTGAAGGATCAAAACTGACTCAGAGGATTTGTTCCAGGGGATAAGAAAAGATCACATCGCGTGAACAAACGAACCAGAGAAGACGACTTTGTCAGTAAAGATGCCAAATTTGCAATTTAACATCACTATACAAGATTATTTACCTTTTTGTCCCCAGCCGCAACGCGGAACGGGGGAATATGTATTCAGCGGCGTCCATACGTCCCGATTCTTGTTAACGCGATATCTCATGGACTGTTGTACCTAATGTCTTCAAATTTGGTGACAGCCTACATTGGGGGATTACCCAGACACCAGTTGATTTTGGTGACCTTGACATTATTTTCAAGGTCACCATGACATTTTGACCACTTTTTAAATTCTTGTTAATGCGATATCTCATGAACTGTTGTACCCAATGACTTTAAATTTGGTGACAGCCTACACTTGGGGATTATGCAGACACCAGTCAATATGGGTGACCTTGACCTTATTTCAAGGTCACCACAACACTTTGACCACTTTTCAAACTCTTAACACGAAATCTCATGGACTGTTGTACCTAATGTCTTCAAATTTGGTGACAGCCTACATTGGGGGATTACCCAGACACCTGTCAATTCGGGTGACCTTGACCTTATCTTCAAAGTCACAACACACTTTGAACACTTTTTAAACTGTTGTAAACATGTTATTTCATGAACTGTTGTATCCAATGTCTTCAAATTTGGTCACAGCCTACATTGGGGGATTACCCAGACACCAGTTGATTTTGGTGACCTTGACATTATTTTCAAGGTCACCATGACATTTTGACCACTTTTTAAATTCTTGTTAATCACGATATCTCATGAACTGTTGTACCCAATGACTTTAAATTTGGTGACAGCCTACACTTGGGGATTATGCAGACACCAGTCAATATGGGTGACCTTGACCTTATTTCAAGGTCACCACAACACTTTGACCACTTTTCAAACTCTTAAACAGAAATCTCATGGACTGTTGTACCTAATGTCTTCAAATTTGGTGACAGCCTACATTGGGGATTACCCAGACACCTGTCAATTCGGGTGACCTTGACCTTATCTTCAAAGTCACAACACACTTTGAACACTTTTCAAACTGTTGTAAACATGTTATTTCATGAACTGTTGTATCCAATGTCTTCAAATTTGGTCACAGCCTACATTGGGGGATTACCCAGACACCAGTTGATTTTGGTGACCTTGACATTATTTTCAAGGTCACCATGACATTTTGACCACTTTTAAAATTCTTGTTAATGCGATATCTCATGAACTGTTGTACCCAATGTCTTTAAATTTGGTGACAGCCTACACTTGGGGATTATGCAGACACCAGTCAATATGGGTGACCTTGACCTTATTTCAAGGTCACCACGACACTTTGACCACTTTTCAAACTCTTGTTAACGTGATATCTCATGAACTGTCCTACCCAATGTCTTCAAATTTGGTGACAGCCTACATTGGGGGACTACGCAGACACCAGTCAATTTGGGTGACCTTGACCTTATCTCCAAAGTCACCACGACACTTTGACCACTTTTCATATCTCATAAAACATTGCACCAAATGTCTTCAATTATGTCGACAGCCGACATTGGATGATTATGCAGACACCAGTGATTTCAGGCATCTTGTATTTGACCCAAAAATAAAAGTAGTAAATATGTTATAACTATTCCATTCTTTAGTGGCGGGGGACATTGCCATATTAGTGGCAAATACTTGTTATTAGTTGCAGGGATTAAGATTACCGTGTGTAACCCATAGATATGCCGACCCCCTTCTACAGACTGCTTTTTTTGGTCCTCAAAATTCGGCTTAGCTACAGTAATATACGGTAAGCCCGCGGCAGACAGACTTTGGGTAGGGCCTTTAGGCCAATTTCCCGAGGCCAAGGGCTTACTTTTTAAAAAAAAACTGAGGAGGAGGCATTTAATTTTAATACAGTCGTGCCCCGTTTATCCGAACCTCAGATATCCGGAAAACTCGCCTTCCGAACGAAAATTCATTAAAACGAATTCACAACGCTGTAAAACTACTCACTTAACCGGAAATCCGGTTTCCGTAACCGGATGGTCATTTTCACACACTAAATGCTATATCATATGCATTTTGTTCTCGTATATCCGGATGGCTGAGCACCTGTCAGTATGTTACAAGCCGGCATTCTTTGAAGGGTGAGAGGATTAACTGCCCTTAATTCGCAAGGTGACACTGAGTTAATCTTGAGGCGTGTCAATTGTTTTTGGCAAGGCTAGACGTCCCCGTTGTTTTGGCAGTGATTTTAATCCAGAGGTTTATGTTGGGTACTGGAACAATGCAAAACTGTGGATGACATCAGAACTGTTTCGTGATTGGTGGCTAGCATTTGACAGACAGATGAGATTGAGAAGTAGGCGTGTTATATTACTGATGGAGAATGCATCAAGCCACACCCCCAATGTGAAGTTGACACATGTCAGATTGCACTTCCTGCCGCCAAACACGACGGCACACATTCAGCCGATGGATGCAGGAATCATCCGTGCTTTCAAAGCAAATTACCGCAAGCTTGTTGTGTATGTTTTTGTTATTTGTTGATGAATCAATCAAAAATGAATACGTCTGAGGCTTATTATGTTCGTTTGTTTGTCTGTCTTTTTCCTTATGGTCCTCGGTTCAGATATCCGAAAATTCGTTTATCCGAACAATTTCAAGAGAAACACAAGTGTTCGGATAAACAGGGCACGACTGTATTTGGTATTTTCTGTTGAAATCAACTGGGATGCGACTGGCAGCCTATACCTTCTCTTGCACGTGCTACCCATGTCGTGAACGTGTGCTGCCCGCAGTACCCTTCTTTGGAGGAACGAATGGTTCACACTGACAAACAATCGATCCTTCGTAGCCTAGTGGATAAAACTGCTAAGCCAGTAAACGAAGTGTTGCAGGTTCAAAACCAGGCACTGGCACTATATAATGGATGTTTTCAATATTGTGATATTTTCCTATCGTATTCAGTCATATCAAAGTAAAATAATTCAAAGTCAAGGGCTATTCCTCAGAAAATCCAAGGGCTGTGGGCAATTCCGTAGAAAATCCCCAGGATGCCGGCATTCCTTAGAACATCCCCAGGATGCTGGCAATTCTGTTGAAAATCCCAGGATGTCGTCAGTT